TTTCTATTATCCTAGCTTTCCTCAGAATGAGAAGCATTTTTTCTTATTGAATAAAGACACACACATAAAAGCAAGAGAAAAATAAAAGCCATCTTTGTTCCGTAATCATCATAAAACTGCTGACTGTCTTCGTTTTCCTCCGCTCACACCGTGTACGCTCGCACAGAGACATCACCCACAGATGTCCATGTGATAAAGCCATGAAGCCGGCTTGCTTGAGAAGACTTTCCCTCTCTGCCACAGTGAGCGATATGAGCCATGCAAACCCAAATTACATTTATGATCTGCTCGTGCCAACGCGGGCACACAATCAAAGCCTTCCACTGAATCATTTAGCATATTTATTTAGCTGGCAACTTCACGAGCAGTCAGACCTGTCTGTGGACGCCCGCCCTCATTTGTATTTTCTGCTGACACGCGCTGGAAAGTGCCGAGCCAGTGACAGTCACTCTCTCATTAGCAGGTTTTTTCTGTGGAGGCTCCAGAGCCTGTGGGTGGCCTGGAGCGGTGCTTTCTTTCTGCATCTTCTTTCCATGGAGACCTGGAGCCTCCACTCACCCTGAATGTACCCTTTTCAATGTCTGAGGAGATAAAAGAAAAGCATCCAATATTTCAGCAAATAGAAACCATATCCAAACAAAGATAGAGAATAGTCATTACTTTAAACCAAAAGCACATGTGAGTAAAAAATGACTGGACACTTTCTGCATTGAAAGCACTGAGTTTGGTGCTGAATAATTACTGCAGCTCTCTGTCAAGGAAAGTGAGAAAATGATTTATGGAGTCTCACCACTTTAAATTGAGAAAAGGTAATAAAATAGCCGTCAAAGCAAAGAAAGTTCTGTTGAATTGTTGAGGTGAAGACAAAGAGGAACATAAGAAGATAATGGTTGTGATGGGTTTACCTTCAGGACAAACCCTTTTTGAAATACAAATATTGAACATCTGGTGAACACATCTGCATACGAGGTCACTCCCCTAGAGTTTTCCACATAGTCTGTTGAATAAGCTAATGACTTGGAAACATTTTTTTAAAAATAATTTACAAAGTACTTACAGAGAGAAACAAATCAAACCCAGCACAACTTTTGATAGAAGGAAAATGGAGTTTGTAATATTAAATAATTTACAGAGCACTGACGGGGGAAAAAATACTTCAAACCCAGAGAGACAAAATTCTTGTAAAATAAGAAAGAACATATTCATATTATATATTAACAATAGGCCAATTGTCTTGTTTATATTTATTCATTTACAGAGGACTTAGAAAAAGAACAAATCAAATCCATTCTTTTTTTTCAAATGTTACATTTAAATAAAGGAGCATGAGAAGTTAAGCTCAAATATAAAAGGAGAAATCCACAGGGCATCAAATGAAACTTATGTTGAACTCAATTAGATCATAACGAGACATACTGTGGAGACAAAAGCAGCCCATAATGCTGCTTCATTTGATGTTTTTGCAAATGGTGTGTCTTTTGTAAAAGATGATGGGAAAAATATGTCCCTCTGTCGAAACAGGACTATGTAACGTTGTCAAATAATATTCTTAAAATTGTGACTTTTTGACATCAAAGTGTCCTCTGTGAGAGCTTTCAGCACATGTTGCCACATCATCTGAAGTGGTGAGGACAGTGATCACATTCAAAGACGCCATTACAATATGTATATTTGATCATATTCAATGTAGGACAAAATAAGAAAAGTGGTCTCTACCTTACCAAACATAGCCTGCGTATTTCACTGTACATTGAGCATATCAAAGCATATTGTCTTTAGATCACATCTGCAATACATCAGGCGATAATGGGTTTAGGAAGTCTTATTTGTACTGGTGAAAAATGCAGACACAGTTGGTTTGGTGGTTTAAGTAACCCTTGAACCTTTTAGGGATCAATATGCCTCAAGAATATGTTTTGAATGATCATTATTCAGCTCGGATGAAGTCAGGTGACATGGTAGTGTATCATCTCACTGATGAAGAGCTCCAGCTAGATTTAAACCTGCTTAAGCATGTGAGCTACTTGTATGGTTTATGATTGTAATGAAATATGATAGCTTTCTATTATTTAGGGAAACATTTACTTTCATTAGCCTGGAGGTTTAGCCATATTTTCTTAGCTGGCTTACTCTCATTGAAAGGGTTTAAAACAAATACAACTTCATGTATGAACAAGTTGCAACCATCTTACCTTTTTAACTGGAAGGTTCTGCTGTTTTTATTTCGCAATTCTGAAACCAAATCCGATGACAGTTTTGGGTTTGTTTCTCACGTCAACCCAACATAGTCCAGGAGAAGTAGCTACAACCTTTCCGTTCTTAATAAGACGGTTTGTTGTTGTTTTCTACATTGATGTAAGCTGTTTTCTGAGAATGTATGTGCATCCAGAACATTATTTAGACCCCTTGAAAAGTTGTGTTTAAAACTGAATCTGAAAATAACTGTTTGCAAGAAAACTTCAGGGGCCGCTTTAAGATTGGAAACCAAGTGTTACGAGCTTTCACTGTTCATGTCATTTAAAGGTGGGGTAGGTACGTTTCAGAAACCGGCTCGAGATACACTTTTTGTTATATTCCATGGAATGCTCTTAACATCCCGATAGCAATGAATATCTGAAGTGCTTTGACTAAAAATCCATTAAAAAAAGTCATCTGTGGAAGCCGTAATACTGTAAAAAGCACAACCAATCCGTTTAGCCGTTGCCGCCCTGTCTGTCAGCCTTCCATCTCGTGCACGCACAAATGTATCTCGTGCCCTCATTGGGCGTGCCGTAATTGGGCGTGTCCATGTGTGTTGGAGGAGGTGCTCTGTAAGGAAGTCTGAAGGAAGGGGCGGATTCTTTTCGGCTGTGTACTTTCAAATTTTAGTGCACTCGAGCCGGTTTCTGAAACTTACCTACCCCACCTTTAATGAAGGGTAAAGTAAAAAAAAAAAATAGAAAATTGCTATATGACGTTCTGCATGTCTGAGATAAGCCAGTGTTCTTTTTGACATTTTAAATAGATTGCATTTCATGTTTCTACCTTTTGTAATAAGCGTTTTTCATGTTGCCTTTGTTCTACCTCCTGTCTTTTATTATAAAAACCCAAACATAAAAATGAGTAATAACCAGTCCTGTGTAACCAATGATACAAAATACATTCTTTTATTCATTCATCATACACAAATACGTAAATACACAAAACAAATCAGTATAGACACAAACAATATTTAGCGGGATATAAATCTTGACACCATTTACAGTACACACCATTTACACAAACTGTTTTGGAAATTCATGTGCTTGTCTCTCTTTTTGGAAACATCCTTTTGATGCATTCAGTCTGTAATATCAAAGCTATCTATGCCTTTCGCCTGTGTCTATACACACAGCGTTTATCATTTGAACTACATCACTTTGAGTCTGCTCCTATTTCATCCCTCATTACTCTTCTCACCTAGATCATTTTGCTGCAACATTTAAGATTCATATTTTTATAATATGTACATGATATACATTGATTCTTAAATACATGGTCATTGTTTCCAATCTATTTACAATATAAGAGCTTATTGGTATTTTAAATGGTTACAAAATATGTGTAGTTGATGCTCTAAAAAGAGGCAAATGTGATATTATGTTGACTGTGTAGCTATCAAGTGGTTGTTTAAGGAAGTTGTGCTTTGGGGGGGGGCATTGCTTAACCTTCATAACAACAAAACTGCAGCTTACTTCATGAGAAAGAAGCGTGCTATCATATTTGGAAAAACAACAGGGCTGTGTGTTGATGTTGATTCAATCTGCAATATATTTAAAAAAGCATTGGGTTTACGGAGCGTGTTTTAAGTCTAATCATCTTCTCACGACTCCTCTCCTGTTGGCATTGTAAATGGAAAAAATTGCACTTCCATGGTATCCTTGAGTCCTGTTGTGTGATTGAAAGAGCAGAGCCATTCTCTGGTTTGGTATCAGGAACACTGACACTGCCTCAGTGCAAACCCACACAGTTTCTATCACAATAGATTGCAGCTGCATCTGACAGATCAAACAAGGTTTCCACGACGGACACAATACTTTATCTCTCTTCTTGCGGCTAAAAATGGGCCGAGGGGCTAATACCCCAGATGAAACTCATCACTCTGAAGTAACTATTCTTTCATTCTTTGGTTTAAGAGCATCATGCGTGGCATTGAAGTCTCCGTATGCTGTTACACAAGTCAAGCTCTGAAGTGAAGAGTGTATGCAATTAGTTCCTCATATGATATGACTGGTATTTCGTGGGTCTGGACTTTGTTACTGTTTTTAAATGTCCTGCATATAAATAGCTAAATTCTGCAAGACTCAAAAACAAACAAGATATTGAAATTCTGACTAAACAGATAACAAATGATGTCGGATCCAGCATTGAGACACAGGACATCACACATCAGATCTTTGGAGGCCGGTAAAGCATTTACTGTGCAGTAAAAAATATGGCTTGTCTGTTAATTGTTTTTCTGTCTTATTTATACAAGTGGAAGTTTAATGAAAGACTGCTACCCCTGAGGCCTCCATCTAAAAAAAGGTCCTCACCTATCACAGCTACTGGCTAACTTTGTGGCTCCCTGAATGTCCCGAGTGTAAAAAAATATATGTATTTGTGTGCAACAACAACATGAGCTCATTGATCACAAACCCATGCTGAGTGAGTGTGTGTGTGTGTGTGTGTGTGTGTGTGTGTGTGTGTGTGTGTGTGTGTGTGTGTGTGTGCGTGTGTGTGTGTGTGTGTGTGTGTGTGTGTGTGTGTATATGGGTGCAGGGATGGAGCGCTCGCAGCAGACACATTAAAGCAAATCCCATTCACTCCCTGCTTGCCGAACAGCGAGCTTAAACCCACACAGTTTGTTCTGTCTCTTGTTAGTCTCTGTCTTTTTCTCCTTTTCAATACCGCCACAACCCGTCCTTTAAGAAACTTTCTCTGGCAGATGGAGACAGAGCACTCTACGCCGACAGCAGCTGCCCCCCCCCCCCCCCCCCCGCTTCAGATCTTCTGGCACATGTGGAGCCTGGACTTGGATGATGAGGTGGCGTCTTTCCACACCTTGCAGGAAAGGCCCTTGGCACAGTCGCAGCGCTGGAAGATCTCCAGGCCGTGAGAGCCTTTCTTCCTCTGCTTGGTGCAGACCTCCCCCTGCCTCAGCACCGGCTTGCAGATTTTGGTCCAGAAATGGCGGGCGCAGCAGTAGCCCTCCGAGCAGTCGGAGGAACGCAGGCAAGGGTCGCCCTCGTGTCCTAACAGAGGAAGACAGTAAACAGCACTGATCAGCGGAGAACCAGCAAACAAAAGATCTACTAACTGTTGACACGTTGACATTAACGTTAAACAAATGCTTAATCAGAGACAGGAAAGAACTTTGTGAAATCGCCCAGCGTCTTGGAGTTTGGCTGTATAGTGATTGAGATTATAAAGCACAGGAAATGTATGATTATTGTTTGACAAGCTGTCCATAAAGATTCCATACATTTTTATTCAGATTGCATTATGTGTGGACATTTAAATGTATTCTATGTACTTACCATATTGTCCCATCTGGTTTACATATCATATTCTGGGCTAGGCTGGATGTTACCATTGCTCTTATGAATAGTGTAATTTAGTCATGCAGTTGCAAATCAATATCCCCTCCAGTCAAAAGCATCAATCCACAAACCACTCAATCCATACGGTTGATTAGTTATCTAAATATAACGTTTGAATCATCAGCGTGAGGGACTGCTAAACCTGACTGTTGTTCATTGCTTTAACACCACTGAATTTCTCTTAAACAACAGCTTGTATAATTCCACTATAATGTTATAAGTACAGGCACAGTGAGTCAAGCCTGATAAAAGTAAATGCGCTCATTTATAGCAACTTTAAGTAGTGCTGCAATTTTCACATTGCTTTTAGCATCGCAGCCTGCTGTCTTGAGGGTGCATTTAGAGTTGAGTAATTTAAGTGTCTCATTAAACCTATTGCTTTATGGATGGGCCCTTTACAATAACTTAAATGGTGACATGAACGCTAAGCAGGGGGCTCAGGGAGTTATTAGCTATAATCATGCCAAACCTGCATTCTGTGGTTTTCACTTGTGTGCTGTCAATGAAAGTGTAGGTGCAGAAACAGCTCTCGCATTGTGGTTACTGCTCGACTCCCCACGCTGCGCTCTACGCTCACAGACACTGACACATGAGCCGAGCTGTAATTATCAACATAGTTTGTGGATTGGCGTCAACCATGAACTCTGTTGGACATGCAGACAGTGAACAACAAAAAGATTCAACAGCAGAAAAGCTGAGAGAGAAAACAAACGGGCCAGTGTTTGGAGAGGGAAAGGTTTCCAGTGGACATGTTTTAAACATAAACCTCACCTTTGAGAGAGTGCTTAGTGTGCGGATTTCCATTCTTCCTCCAGCTCTGGTCTTTGGTGGAGAGTTTGTTATGCTCGTCTAAAGCTGAGATGTGAGGTGAGAGAACGCTCTCGGAGATAGGCACACAAATAACTGCAGACAGAAAAATAAGGGATCAAACATCACAGAAAGCGATAGCAACCCTGCTTTCTTTGTCAAGACACTACATAGAATATTATTCAACCTAATGGCCAACAAGGTTAAAGTCAAATCGATATGGTAGTATGGTAAAATAGTGTGGGTTAGGGATTGCTAAATGTGGCTTTTCAAGGGGATTGACTGCAAATGTTTGGACAGATATGTCACTTTAAAACAAACAACCATTTCCTAGAGGTTCTGCACAAACACTTTCTTCATAAATGAGACCAATGATTCCTAACCTCTGGTCATCAATTCAACTACACTTCTTGTTTCTGTCTGAAAGCATGTGTTCAACATTATTTAAATGTCTTTGATTCAGTCTTTTGGAAGCAGTCACTTTTTCCAGAATATCTGCATAAGAAATCAAATGTCTGACTCGTACCCTGCAGTCACAACATAACCCAACCTGATATGCTTTGAAAATGTGTGTGTGTGTGTGTGTGTGTGTGTGTGTGTGTGTGTGTGTGTGTGTGTGTGTGTGTGTGTGTGTGTGTGAGGTACGTACAGTTACTGCAGCGGTTCCCAGGACAGCACATGGCGTCTCGATGGCAGCGCTTCTTCCTCCTGCGGCAGTTGAGGCAGCGGGGGGGAGACTGCTGAGGGCTGTGGCAGTAGCTCCCCACGCTGCACTCCTTATCGTTGCTGCATGGGTACACCTGCTGAGGAAAAGATGCATTTACTTCATGAATTGACATCGTTCAAGAAAGATCCTGACTTTTATAAGCATACATTTACCTTAACAAAGGTGTGTTCAAAGTTGAAAATGTCTGTGGTTTCAAAAAACAATTAACAGCTTTGAGATTTAAGTGAATAAGTGCAAAGTGTGACAATGTGGTGGCAGTGGAATCATCCATATTTTCAGAATATATTAAACAAGTGCATGTCACAATGTGAAGTTAAGTTTTGTTTTATTTTAGCAAGCATGAGCACGTCTATTTCAAAATGTGCTTTATATATGATATAAAAGGTGTTGCCTTTGATATTTGACATTGATAAACTTTCCTCCAAGTCATAAAACAACATGTGGCTGTGCATGAGTGTAAAAAAGGGCTGTTCAACATCTAATGTCGTAAAGATGTCCCCTTTTATTGGGCATTAGATCATCTGATTGGCAAACCCATGTGTTTTATCCCCCTAAATGTATTTGATTAGATGTGGCATGTTATGTGTTGGTCGTGTGTGATCTCTGATTTGCAATGATTACAAAATGTCTACCAGATTATCAGAGTGCTGTGATGCAGAGGGAACCGTGGTTACAGAGCAGGCACATTGTGTATTTTGTTGGTCATGCACAACTCTGTAAACTGCGACTTTCCCAGACCTAACACAGTAACATTCCTTCTAATTCCATTCCAAGCACCACAGTTACACCGTGCACCTCAGGTCGCAAAAGTTAAATTGTAGCTGTTAACAAGCCAAATAAAACTCATGTTATGCTTGAGTTAGAAGTCTTTAAAGAGACCAAAAACAGGAGCTTGGGAAAAAACTCAACTTAAATTCAAGTCATCATGTAGGAAAAGTCCACATCTTACTTTTACCAGATAGAATTTGATCAAGGAGGCAGACAATCAGATAATATCCAACGGTATTTTAATTGCATTTATGTGCACTTTTTGTGAATTGCATTGACTGTTTCAAGAGAAGATTGTTATATTCTTTACTAAGGGAAACCTTCAAGATGTCATTCAAGTTACTGTGAGTGACTTTGTGTTTAAGGTTTCTATGCCGTCTCTTCTTTTAGACAGTGATGTTAGATTTTACGAGTGTCCTTTTGAACATGTTTTTGACATCTGAACCAAATGCCATTTACCATGAGGTGGTGACAGAAGTCTCAGCAGCATGCAGAGATCTGAAAACTTGGAAGATGAACTAATAACTCTCTAAATACTATTGAGGATGAGTAAGAAAATATGTTGATTGTTTGCTTTGGATAAACTGACTACAGGCTGTGGTCCCTTTGCATTCAATTTGAGAGGACGGCATGTTGTAGGGATTAACATGTCTGCACTTAGAGTCATGTAAAGTGGTCATTTGTTTCAGGTCCCAGACAATAGCGCTATTACAATTTCCAAACCACTTCAGTTTCTCTCAATTTCTCTCAAAGTGTTCAGAGGGTTAATGAGTCTACAGACATAATTGAGGGGCAATTACTGCAGCTAATCATACTCCTTCATAGTCAATCTGGCTTTGTTTTTGCTCTAGTATGTCTTTCTGAGAGGTTGGGACATTCTGTTGTCCAGCTGGACACACGAATAACTTTTAAGTCTTTACCGTAAGTGCAGTGAAATGACCACTTTAGCAAAAACAACCACTGTCACCAGCAGCGAGAAGTACAATTAAGGCCAAGCTCATTTTTTCCATAGTAAGCGCGTGCATGGGAAGCTTTACTGGAATTCCACACACATGCAAGAACTGCCCCCGTTCGTTTTGGAGAAGGAACAATAGTGTTTGTTGTAAATTAGTTTTGCAAGAAATGTCACAAATCCGCACTGAATTCCTCAAGAGCTACAAGAAAACACCCAAACTCAGGTTCAAGTCCACATGGGCGAGACACAAAGCCGCTCAGGCAGGTCACTGGGTTTTTCCAATTGCTGCAAAGCCTCTTAGAATTTTAAACCATTTGCTTTCTACGATAGGGATTTGTTTTTGCAATGGATGGACAACTATTCAAACATGCAGATCAGTGAAAATTGACAGGATTACATTGTGGCTGTGTAAATAAATAATATCCCGTGTAGACCGACATTAGAACAACATGTTTGGCTGGCACACCACAACCAGCACCACATCCCAATGTAGCTGGTACTTACTGACAGATCTGATTTAATGTGGCTTACTTACCACTGACAAACATGGAACAATAAACATGAGAATGAACAAGAAAGATTATAAATTATAATTTCAGCCACAATAAAAAGGAAACTCCTTTTGGGTTTATGACGGTTAGCGGAGAGGGGCTGCCGTGCCCAAAACAACAATAATGACTGTACGCCACATGTTCTATCAACAAAATCAATATTTCAGCACATTAGAATTTCTCAACATGCTTCAGAAAGTGAACAAGATTAGAGTTGTTGGACGAATGCCATGCAGACTTTCTCAGGCTGGAAACACATGGAGGCAATGATACAGACGTAGAAGAATGAGCAGGAATATTAAACTGAATCCTCATCCATCATTATGACAGATTGCCACAATGCAGATGCTTAATGTGTTGATGAAAGTAACAAAGCCCTGGTGTTTGATGGATTCTAAATATTTCTTGATTACTACTGTGTTCAGAGCAGTTCTCAGAACATTCAAAGGATTTGTTTCAAAGGGACGCTCCTCCGATCATGAAGACCAGTTTACACGTCATGGGGAGAACTATTCAACAAATGCATTGTCTTCTGTGGAGGAAAATAACTATTGATGTAATTAGGGTTGTCTTGGCTTTCGGCTATAACGATTAATCCGGGGGTTTGAAATAAATGGTTGTTGGCAAGGCAGGTAGGAACAAATACTGTATGGACGCCATCAAGCTGCATTATGGGAAGAGTATAGAATCCAGCAATTTCACTATTCCTTTTTTAAAGCTCCCTCCCTATAACTTTATTTGTGTGCAACATGAATTCACTGAGAAGCCCTAACATAAGCGCTCCTTCACAAAAAGAAATCCAAAATGAACAATATTATTAATTACAGGAGTAGTGTGCCTTTGGCTTTCTTTTAGAAAGTCGGTTAAGAATCTTGATACCGATTGTTCTCAATGTTCCTGCGCAATAAAGTTACAGCTCCATCTAAAACCAAACCTTTCTATTTTTTTTAAACAGACTTTGGGCTTAGAAATTAAACCAACAATATAAATAAGGTCTTAATTATTATTATTATTATGTATTTATTTATAGAAGGACCAAGCATACAAACAAATTAATCTCAGCAAAGAGAAGAGATATGCCAGATTATAGCTAATAGCTAATTTCCATCTGTGGTCCTCAGACAGGTTCATAACAATCAATAAACAAATAATAACATTGCATGATCTCTATCAGTCATATTTTAAAACCTGATTTAAGTACAGCTCAATAAATGAATACATAGTACTCTTGAAATACACTTACATGATCTCGGTCACTCAAATAATGATAAAGCCTGATTTAAATACAGGTTACGAACATAATACTTAGTACACTTCAAATACACTTGAATAAAATATCTAAGATATAGTATGACAATACAGTTCAAATAAAAAAAACTCAGATTACAGTGTAATTAATGTTGGCATGACTGGTTGCTTAATATCATTTTTTTTGCACCATAAGAAAACGAGTTAAAATCAGTACAGGTTTTAAATTCAACTAGTAAGATTTCGAGGAGCTCTTTATGCTAAGTTAAGCTATTCGCCCCCTGGCTCTAGCTCTGTTTCTAACACACAGACACAAGCACTGTATTGATCTTCTAATCCGACTATTAGCAAGAAAGCAAACTCAAGGTGTACTTTTGAAAGCTTTTAACCACATTTCAAGGTATTTCTCAGCAGATGGACTTTACTCCACTCAGAGAAAAATCTAAGTTCCTTCTTATTCTAATGTCATGAGCACATTTTCCACCTCATCAGCCTGTTATTGTGTCAACTGCTTGTTTTTGTGTCAACTGCTCATTAAGAGGAACATGTACATCACCACGTACTGTTGTGGTGATCACAAATATGCTCAAAATATGGTCTCAAGTTCAAAAAACTGCAGTGGGAGTTTTTTTCCGTGACATGAAAAATGTGCTGCTATCTAAATATGAAGACAAATGGGCCCGAGAACATGCAGAAGTACTTCATACCCCCTCCGGCTCCTCTGTCTTTTTGGCCAGCTGCTTGGATTGATTGCAGTGCATATGTTAAGGGCAGAAGCAGAAGAAGAAACACAGTCAATCACCTTTTCCATCACGGCTCAAACTGGAAGACACAGCCCTTTGAATCCCAACGATACAAGACTGACCCTCAAATCGCAGCTGATAATCTCGCCTTATCTTGTCATGTTTTAAAACGTCTCATTCGCATCTTCTGAGGGATGAAGCTCCATTTGGATGCATCTCATTTATCTCACATCTTTTTTTCTGTTGCTCCCTTATTTTCCCTTCAACAGCCCTCGCACATAAAAGCACAGCCCTGGATCCTGCGCAGGAAGTGGGATGAAAACGGTATACTCTGCAGCCTCTCTTGGTATGCTGGTGGGACGATAAAGGCAGAGACAGACAGAGGAAGCCCCCGGCCCTCGTGCTGGTGAAGCGCTGCGGCTTTGAAGAGGAACTTTGAATGTGCAGGAGCAACAATCTACAAGGGATTTACTGCCGGATATACAGGGCTTTGAACCCTTACCACTGGTCTTTGGGTCCCTTATTTACCTTTGTGGAGTCATTCCAAAGTGCTGATATAATGATGTGGAAGTGTAATGCATAGAAATAACACTAAGTATTGCCTCTGCTGTGGAGTTTGAGGGTTTAAAATGCAGAGATGGTGAAGGGGTTCGGATAATGTTTCACTTTGTACAAAAACACAACAAGGCCCTTTCCAAGAGGAGTGGTTTTCTTTGAACTCTTCTACAGACTCATAAAGAAATTGCAACATGGTCCAAACAAAAAAGGCAGAAGAAATATAACTTAAAGTTAATTGGTACATTGTTTAACTTTGTTTAACCATGACAATGAAAGTCCTCTAACCACATTTGAGCCAGGACATTGTCGCCTCATAAACAGTATTTTCTTCGCAAGGATTTACAACCATACAGGAAAGTGCATGTTTAACTAAGAAACAGCAAGTTAAGACTTTCTTTTGAGAGAAAAGTACATAGGCTATCCTCTTTTCTGAACCCCTTAGCACCATAATCATTTCCATACAGTCCCTTTACTGTTTGTATATGATGGGCTACTGCCTTAACAATAACAGCAGTTCATAATTAGTGTCTTGCATTGTTTATGTCTAACCAAAAACATTAAAGAACAAACTACAACAAATCCAAAGTAAAAAAAGGATCAGACACTCAGCACACATCCAAACGTTGAGCTCATGCTTGCCCTTGACCTTCAGAATTCAGACACTAACCTGAAACAGTGAATGGTGTTAATGACTGGCAGGGGCCTTACAGAGTCAAATAAACGATGTCACTGGATAAACAAACTTCATATGCCCTGAAAGCACAGACAGGCAGTATCAGATAACATAGGGATGGCTGCACACAAGTCACTCGTACAAACCGTGTCTTCAAACGCAGCTTGGCGTCTTTCATCACTCAAAACACATGTGTTTATGGGCATGTCCCTTTGAGTGCTAGAATCCAAACTCTCCAAAAACTAGGCTTTCCTTAAGTTAAGTATACACACAAAAAAAAGGCACACAGCCAGCGTACATGACTGCGCTCTTCAAAGAATATCAAAGGAAAGGGGAAAAGCTCTGTATGCTATTCTAGCAAGTGGGCTGCTCTAAAAGGTGTAATCCTGTGGAATGAGAGGTGCACAGGTCGCCTCTCTCATTAACAGGTCCAATTTCAATGAAGTGAGTTTCCACATGAGACCCCTAATGGCTCCAGTGCATGGCCCTCACAGCACCCGAGGGACCCACAGACTGCAAAGGCCACAGGGACTGAAGCACAAACGGAGCCGAGCGCTAACAAGCACTCACACCTCTTTTCTCAGCTCATTAGGATCACCAAACATACATTTGGGGTTAGGGGGCAGGCAGGGCTGAGAGAAAGGGAAAGGACGAGGCTCTACGTTTACAGGCAACAGAGATAGCTTATTAAAGTCATCTCTGTGTTGAATTAAATAAAGCAACTAGTTGACTACCGCATGAATTCCGCCACGCTGTCGGTTCCCCTGTGGGTTCAGAGGTCCTAGCCTGTGCTATCCGTTTCTGTTGGTTCTCTTCCAAGGATCCAACAGTGCCACCCACGAGCGGCGGCTGTCAAGGTCTTATAGGCGTACATTTCGGTTTTGTCGGTTTCACTCGAGACAGGATGATGTGAAAAGGGTCGGACAACTGGAAAGCAATTTGCCCAAACTGAACCACGCCGAGGGAAAGCCAAACCCCGACCCTGGTTAGTGTGTGATTAATGTAAGCCTTATCGCCCAAAGCTGTCAGCAGCAACAGGAAATAAAAGCACATTAAGCTGTCAAACAACCGACAGCTTTGAGAAGCGGCTCTAATTTGATGACTAAAAACACAAATTACACCCTTGTTTCCTGCTTCAGCGGCTCCTCTCCACAGGGTGGCTGGACTCATTCCTCGATAACTTGCCACATTTAAACATGAGCCACTGAGGGCGATTCTTGGAGAGATTTCTTGTAATTACTGTCAGAGAAAGAGCTGCCTTACATGGTGTGAAAAGGTTATATATTTGTGTTTGACGGCAGACTGAAAAAAGGGTCATATATTGAGATGATCACTCACAAAACTGGCCAACTGGCATAGGTAAAATCTGGAAACCACTGTAATTTCTCCCAAGGTTTAGTAAACTGACAACTATTTCTTACAACATTTGTAAACAAACAGCATCCATCGACCATAAATCGTAGATATCAACTCTGAGGTTTCCTCATAATGCAAATGCCAGAGGAGACATTTGAGTTGATGCATGCCCATTTTCCAAACTTACACCCAAGCCTTAATCAGCAGTAATCACTTCACAAAATCAGACGAAGTTGAAACATATTTTAGGGTGCCTTCTGTGAACCACTTCAGAGAGAAAGCGTCTCAGTGATGAGCCGTTTGGTGCTGTGCAACCTGCTCAGTGCATTTCTTATAATTAAAAAATCTAAGGTAGAATAATTGCAGTTATATACTCCCTGTGATCACTCCTAGACTAAATATATGCCTCACTATGCTATTACAGCCTCATGAAGAGAGCAGACTTGTTATCATTGATTTATTTGGCTCATAAATGGCCACTGAATATGATGAGATGCAGAAGGTCAGTGCAGTTTGCCTGCCAGCGTCAAGCCGCATATCTGGCCAAGGCTGAGCTGCGGCTGTTACTTTACAACTCTGGAAAACCTCTTGGCATACAGAACACACACACACACACACACACACACCCACACCCACACCTACACCCACACACACACACACACACACACACACACACACACACACACACACACACACACACACACACACACACACACACACACACACACACACACACACACACACACACACACAAATACATATCTACCCTCTCCTGCCATAAATGCTATTTGCCATCTTCATTTGGACACACTGCACCATGACATTTTGTAACAGTGTGGTGGTCTCTGCACACATATATCGGTTCCCCTCAGTCCACTTTTCCAAACCGCTCCACATTATTGCAATGGTAAAGATATAAGCAGGCGTTCAAATTGAGGTCTGGCAGGGTTTGCTTGAGGTTGGATCTCCACAGAGGAGAGAAAGTGGCTTTTCCATAATTTCTGCTGCCTGAGCTGGATGTCAGAGCGCTGCTCTCAGCACTACGCGCTTCACAGATACCCAACACTATCACCACTGCAAGTGATACAACAGACAGTTCAACGACCACATGTCAACATGAGTTAGAGGGTGAGACCATCAGGCAGGAAAAATGCATAAGGAGAAGAGTAATCAGCTGTTTCAGTGTGCTGAGAGACTTGATGGAGATGTGGCAGTGCCATCTGCTGCTCAAAAAGATACTCTGATGTTTAATTAAAATGTAAAGTTAGTGGTTATCTATCTAGGAGATGAAGACCACTTGGCATTTGTCAGTTTTTTGTTTGACTGATGTGTCATGTTTCTTTTCCACATTAGTATAAGTTCACCTCTCCAAAAAAATCATCAAAAATATCCACTTATTGGAAAGATTTGGTGCCTTGGAGAACTTTGCTTTTCCGGCCAAGCAATACATGTACAGCTCTAATTCCTCACTTGATAAAAGTCACTCATAATGTTCACAACTTGTTACTTTTGCCAGAATAAAGCGTGCCAAATCTTTAATATTTTTTGATCCCACGTTTGCTGTCAAACTACAGTAATATGGCACTTTGTTGAAACAGCAGGAATTGATAACTTTGAGTGGGTATTAAGTGGTTGGTAAGAGTATCCCTCAGAGGCCCCACAGTAAGAATCTCATAATCCCAGCAAGCGTCTGGACCACTTTAATGACACTAAGACCCAGACAGAAAATTACCCTAAGTGTTAACTTTTTCTCACATTTCTGCTGGCATTGATGATTTACTGTTGAAGTGCGACTGTGGCGTCAGGTCTGAAAGGCAATTAGGGTTTATGAGGGGTCCAATCCCTGCAATTTCCAATAACGATTCACACGTGAGAAAGCTCTTTTAAGGCATATATAGGGCTACTTTGCTTACACACCTCAAGATCCATCATAACGACAGTTTTGAAGAGGATTCGCACAAGTATGCACTTCTCTATATCCACGGCATACTAATATTGTGATTTACAAAGGGGGAAACTGTTCTTCTTTCTTGTTATGCTTATTATAATAAGTTAACACTACTTTTTAGACGTTATTATTACCACTAGTATTAATTATTCCACTGCTGCTAATCATGTTAACCAAATGAAGGCTGTGCGTAAATGTACTGCTGGCATATCCATCCATACATCCTCAGATAATGAAATAATGAAATGTACCTGTGCAAGGACGTTGTGTTTCTTGGTGATCCCGATGTGAGCAGTGCGGTTTGTAGCCGGTGTAGGTGACTCTTCCGACAGAGCTGGCTTGATTAAGTTCGCCTTTGGACGCGCCTCTGATACCTGGGATGTCCCCGTCTTCAGTGAAGCGACGAGAAACACCACAACACAGCATCTATTCCAAGTTAGGACGAGCATCCTTGAAAAAGAACGTAAATATACTAAAAAGAGAAAAAAAGGATTTGAATAATCTTAATTTCTAAATGACAAGTGTGCGCACTGTCAGTGTCCATGCGTTACGCAATACAGAGAGTGGTGATGATGATGAAAATCAGTTATTCAGAAGAATGACTGCCATCGACACAGTTATCTGAGAGCCCAGTGTAGGAGGGAAACAATGAAGAAGCGGATCTGTGAAAATGCTGATGCTCTGAGGGTCAGAGAGAAACTTGACAAGAGGTTTCCTCCCCTGTCTCCGTCTGGCTGTGAGTGAGCACTTAGTCCTGCAGCCGGGTGTTTTATGATCTCGGATACTTTCTTTTTATAGGATCTAATGAGTTTGCTTCCTCCGCCCCTATTGACAACTGACAAAGAATGAAACTGATCTGTGCGCGGCACTGCTGCTTGCACATTGTCGTCTCGACACCGGCACCAGGAACCCCGTTGGGAAAAGGCTATAAAATTATACACTGTGTATTTTAACTGGGCGCTTGACCCTTTTTACTGCGATGCTGCGCCCAGCAGCCTCGCGTATAGGAAACGGAAAAAGTCAGAGTGGGGCTGCTTTAAAGAGAGTTTGTAGGTAACGTGGATCATTTTACGTTATCACAAGAATGGATTTGTGTTTAGGAAATTGTTACCTGTAGTGATTATAACTGTAAAATCTTAAATATCCCACTAAGGCCACCTCAAAAGCAAAACGCCTCATTATTTAGTCCAGAATGATGTCCTGACCAATGGGACATTTAAATAAGCAAGATGCGGTCCAGGGTCCATTTAACCAGCATTCCCGAATAACATAGCATTTTTTTAAAAAAACTATCTGATAACCATTGTTTTCCCTCTGTGGGAAAGGCTTCCCTCATTATGCAAGGAATGCCAATGGTGATAAAGTTAGTGATATAAGTATTATAGAGAGTCCTTTGTTTGAGTCTTGTATCAGGATAAGTTATATTCATGTTGGTTATGTGCTGGTACAATGAACTCTTTCAGTTTCACGCAGGTAAAGCCTATGATTTCGAAAAAGAAAAAATGCATTTAGGACAGGGACACACTGGAGATAATTCTTGTTGCTGATTTAATCCCTTTTCTTTAGCTCTCTACTGTATGTACTAAGTCCTATTTCAGATTTTATTTAATCGCATCAGTGCATTAACCTTATGACTCCCATCCTCCTGAAAATGGGAATATAATGCACAAATATAAACCACATTTTATGTAAATCAAACACAAAATACATCTTATAAATGTGAGGACATAGGCAGACGGTCACCCAACCATCTTTCCCACAATGGCCATGAATCTCAGCTTATAATGCTTTAGTCTTCACACAAGTGTAATCTATTCAAGGCTGGAAGCTCGGCTGGGCTGGGATGAAATCAGTATACCGGTAAAGGCTTCTGACCTCAAAAGCTATCCATCACATGCTTCAATTCAAAGTGTCAAGTTCTTTTGTTGGAGACAATGGACAACCAACTGAACTGGGGAGTGGGAGGAAGTATTGGACTTGTCTGATGTAACTGTAGATGCTTAGAGGTGATACCTTTTTAGCCACCCTTGTCACCCGAGTGCAACGTGATTTAACTTGAAAGCCATTACAGACAGTTGCTTTTCGCATAAATATGTTTTTGAAGAACTCATTCATTTCTCTCAGGATTAGTTACCTGCTTGACGAAAACAGTTGTGCAGTCCCACACTTTCCTGATAATCAAAACTTGCCACTATGAATATCTGAATTATGCATTCTGTGGGATTCGTTCAAGATTGTGTTCAAATAACCAAGTACAACAAATACAATGCCTCGGGAAACATTTTAATTTATCCCATAAACGGCGGAGATGCCCATCTGGATTTTGTTTCCCTTCACTGATTAAACAGCTGAAAAAGTCCACAAATGGTGAAAGTGGCTGAAAGTGAACCAAAGAGGCTGGTTTGGATGGTCTTCAGCATTTCAAACAAATGCATCACTTTAATGCATTCAAGCAGCAAAAGAGGAGACACTTAAAATGTTGAATACTGATGAAACCCTGGAGGTCCACAAGTTACATGTTGATGCTTTGGGGCTGATTAATGTGGAGATGTCCAAAGAACCCATAGAAGATGAGATGTGACAGGAATCTAAGTTACAGATGATAAAGTATCCCGATGGAGACAAGGTGATGTGAATGTTTCAGACAGCAAGGCTTCTGGTGCTTTACTAAAGGTTCGCTGACTCCATTTTGGATGGCAGTGTGAATATGGTACTGATGCTTTGTTACTTATTTCAACACTGTGGGCTAACAAAGGGCTTTTAGGACGTCACCAATTAGTGTCAAAAATGGGGTCATCGAAAAAAAGGAGAGGAAGCAGGCTCAGTTTCTTCACAACTATACTTTACAGACATTCAAGAACAACCCAGGCCAAGACCTGTGATTGTTTTCTTGGCTCTCACAGTTGGAAAGAGTAACCGCGGGATTATTTTATGTCCTGACATGCTATCATCACCCTGCCTTCACATGGTAATCACATTTTGACGACTACTTTTTGCATCGTTAATGCTCTGACGACACAACCATTGCTGGGTTTCAGAGTTTAAAAAACCAAACCATCTGCAAAATAATATCACTGTTGATTTGCAATCTGTTTGAGAAAAGCTTAAAGGGGACCTATTATGCAAAATCTACTTTTTTATGTCTTTTATACATAAACATGTGTTCCCTCTGTGCAAAGAGATTAGGCGCTTTCAAACCAAGTACTTTGCCGTACTTAGTTCCCAGTACTTAGTTAATCGGAACTCTTTAGTTCCCGGAACTAGTTTTGTTAGCAGATCGCGTTCATAAGTCCCTGAGGAAGGATTAGGCAAATTAAGCCGCTGACGTCACTTCTTCTTCTTCTGCTTTGGGTTTACTGGCAGGCAGCAAACAACTTCACGGCGTATACTGCCACCCGAAGTCCCCGGAGTTGGGGACTGGCTTCCGAGTAAATCGCCAGAATGTCGACACCTCCTCATCTCCACCGCTCCCATGTTTTTTTTTATGTTGCCATAAGTTAGTCTCTCTCCGTTGGTGCGCTGGGCTAATGCTAATGCTAATAATGCTAATGCCAGCAAATACAATGGCGGCTTCACAAAACTTTTCCGAGTTTTACGGGGCGGGGTTTGCAATTCGCCCAGCCAATCAGAAATGGGAACCTTTTTCTCCCATGAAAGTACCTGCTCTCTAGCAGGGATTAAAAAAGGGTGAAAAGGTTTGCAAAAAAAAGTTCTAGTTCCAGATCTTTTTGGTGTGAATGCAAAATCCCAGGAACTATCGGAACTATTCCTGGGAAAAGTACTCCGGTGTGAAAGCGCCTATTCTGAAAGTTTCAGGAAAAAAGATTCTCTCACTTTTTGTTCTGATCCATTTATATAAAAATCTGTCTGAAAATGAGCTGATCATATTTTGGCCACTTTATGATGTCATAACGATTTTTTGGCTTGTGTAACCATTAACCAATCACCAACCAAGGTAACCCCCCCCCCCCCCCCCCCCCCCCCCCCCGCCCTTATCACCTGAATCTCCTCCTAGAGCACCATTGTGTTTTTTTAACCAAATATCTGTCAGAGGGGCGTGGGGAGGGGCTCCTTATTTTTCATCTAAAGTAACAGACAGAGAATCAGCACTTTTGATACAGGGCTGAAACAGAGGGGATTATGGGTAATGCTGCAATGATCTGTTTGGTGTTTGGAGCCAAACACTTCAGAGACATGTTTTGTATGTATCTGAGACCTATAATATATTGATGAAAAACAGTATAATAGGAGACCTTTAAGGTCATTTCATGGCAGATTGACGCCCTGGACACCTGACTGGATAACTCTGACATTACTTGCAGGTGAATCATAACTGGAAAAGGTCTTACCCATTGGAATAATAGTCATGTGACACAGGTTGTCATCTGCCAGGCACCACAGTCTCCATCTTTGACTGACATGGCTGAATGTTTAGTGCTAGGCGGCGGTGGTGGCGAAGTCAACAGGGAGTTGGCTTGGCAACTGGAAGATCACCAGTTCAAGTCCCGGCAAGACCAAGTGCTACCGAGGTGTCCCTGAGCAAGGCACCGTTCCCTACACTGCTCCCCGGGCGCCGTTCAAAATGGCAGCACACTAAAATGTCAAATGCAGAGAAACAATTTCCCCACAAGGGATTCATAAAAGTCCATCTTATCTTAGAAGAATAAATATAGTTCAAGAGTGGTCTTCAACTGGATTTAGACTACAGAGAGTGAACAATTGTTTGCATAATAAGTACAAATGTATGGACTTTGAATGTTTGTAAAAGTTGCTCTTATCAGTATAGAAATGGATCAATTGGTTATGGGCTGGAGTTTATGGTTAGGGTTAGGATTATAAAGCACACCTTAAGTGTAGTTGGGATCAGTTGATTGGTGTTGCTACACATGATGAAACTGCTATGTCTTCAACTATTCACATACTAAACTCATTTGTATCCAAACAGGTTGCTAAGTGAAATATTGGTTATAAAAAAAATGGCCGGTTTGTGCAGTTTATCTGTTGAACTGGTGAATATTCTCTCAGATCAATCACAAACTAAAAAGTACTAGGTAACAGATGCTATCCACAACTTTTGTTGATGGAAAACAAAAAGAGCTGTACAGTACCATGCAGTGGAAATGTGGTAATAATGACAAACCCACAGACAATAATCTTCTACTAAGCATTTTAGGATCTTGCAGATCCTTTGTTTTGGTTTAAATGCCTTGCAAGCTCTGATAAACCCATTGTATGCTTCCTTCCCAGCACCAGTAATGGACACAGTTTGCAACCTGCCAGATATAAAGAGAGTTTGTAGAAACTAAACTAAAAAGGTGAAGAAGATGGGACGGACACTCACAAGTTTGACACAAACACAACTCTAAATGCTAATGTTTCTCAGTAGCTGTTTGATGAGTAGAAAGGGAAGTATTGGTGATAGTGATGATGTCTCGGGGACGCTCTTTTTAATGATTCCTCTGATGATAGTCATACTCATAATAGATGCTCCCCAAGGTTGAATCTGTCCCATTATCCTTTTTTTCTCTTAAAGTGAATAACCTTACTTTGTATGCAATGCACGCTCTCTGAGTGAAGTCAGTAAGCCACTAGGCAAGATTACGCACCAAAGGTTTATTTACATCTAGTATCACATTTCAAACACAGAGGCCAAAATACAAAGCACCTACCATAAGACTGAGAAACACATTAGAACATTTAAAAAAAAAAGACTGATGATGTAA